AGTGTCACATCCTGTATCAATCGCAACTTACTCTACATCGTAACAAAGTGTCACATCCTGTATCAATTGTAACTTACTCTACATTGTAACAAAGTCTCATACACTTAATAAATGTATGGACATTAACATATCAATATATCCAGACACAGTTTACATAATGTACCCCTGGCTGATGTATCACAATGTAATTGATTCAGATACATTGCAATCTCTGTGGCATTGTCCAGTCCTTGCCAGACCTCACTGGCATCAAATCATACATGTTAATCATCACAATTATCAAAATATAATGGTTATTCTTTATTTCATCCATTCTCACACAAATTTTGACAAACAACCCATTACAACTAACATTTCTTGTGTCTAAAAGTCTAATTTAACAATAAGCAAAGAACCAACTGACACACATCAGTATTGATTCTTGCATCCGAGACGACGATGATGGTGGACAGTATCAGGTTCTGTTATGTTTAGAAGTCACATGACTAGTGGGTTTTCTTTCAGACAATCATTGATTGGTGGTTCCTATCAATCTGGACCCCGATCCACAAAGCGTTCGTAAAGTTACGACTTGTTGCTACGAACGCTTTGTGGATTGGGGCCCTGGTCCCAAAAAACTATCAAATACCATTTTCTGTGTAGCAAGTATCCTGTACTCAGTGTCTAGTACTTGGTAGGTACCGGTACTTATTCTGAGGAAATGGTAACTAGTACTGGGAAGGGGTGACACTGCAACAGTGTTCACGAGTTACTACTGGTATTTCACGCAGTAAAGTATAATAATATACCAACTGTTATTTATGTTGTGTTTAAAACAAATTTTGTGCATTAAAGTAAACTTCAATTCATTATAGAACTATTATGTCATTGTCAGTTTAGTCCAAAGTATCAAAATAGTTACAATGATATCCGCCATACAACAGTTCAGCTGCTATCCCCCACTTGGTACTCAACATAGATTTTACGAATGCTTCTGTCAGTACTGTTATTTCACTATCCACTGCACATTCTCTAAGTCTCCCGGGAAACTGTCATGGTTTCTGGAACATCCCTTCCTTACAGTGATGCTCTCAGTTTAAGTTTCTGTTTGATTGTTGTTTAAAACTGTACTTGGCTAAACTCTTGCTGCAAATAACTGACCAGACAATCAAGTGATTGACATCAACACCATTGATCTACGTATGGTTCTTTTAGTCTGTGTGTTGGACACAACATTAACACAATTAGTTCCTTGACATAAACTATATATTAGAATTAAGTCAGTTAACATTTGCAAGCTGTCTTAATTATTTGTTCAAATAATGTGAGGAATATCTGGCGTAAACAGTCAAACAATGCTGAACTATCAGGATAATTATTCATTCATGTACAATGTCAACTTTTTTTCAATCACTTTCAGGAGACCCTTTTTCAATCGCACATACAGCTTAACTGGATTTGTGGGTGCATTTTTTGTGATCCCAACCCACAAAGTACTTGGCAATTACCAGGTGACAAGCTCCCGAGTGGTTGCCATGCTTCAGTGGGTGATTGAGTGAGTTTAGTTTTACGCCGCACTCAGCGATATCCCAGATATATGACGGCGGTCTGTAAATAATTGAGTCTGGACCAGACAATCCAGTGATCAACAGCATGAGCATCGATCTAAGCAATTGGGATATGATGACATGTGTCAACCAAGTCAGCGAACCTGACCACCCGATCCCATTAGTCGCCTCTTATGACAATCATGGGTTACTGAAGATCAATTGTAACCCAGATCTTCACGGGTCTTGCCATGCTTCAAGAAGAGGCTCTGGGTCTGTACTTACTATATGTATCAGATCAACTAAAGGGTGTGGCATTTGTGTCATAGATCAGGGACTAAAACTGATCATTTAGTATGTGATAAAAGACCTTCTTGTGAGAAACACTCCATCGTTAAAAGCCTGGGTTCTGCCTGGCACAAGGAAAATACTTGAAAGTGCAGTTACAATCACAGGCCCTCGTGTCTTTGTGAGGATTAAAGATTTTATAAAATATATACAAAAATTTGAGATGACCCCAGACTCGAAATGCTTCACAGCATAATACATTATGACAAGGCCGGACACTTCAGTGCACCCTACCCGACTGATTTGCCGATCGCTACGCTACCATCGCATACGATCGATTAAAACTTAATGTAAACATAATCATGGATGATTGACCTGTCGAGCACCACTCATGACACCTACCAATTCTTTATTGTTATTTCTTCAAGTCAATTGAAACCCGATTTTGACTCAACTAAACGATCTTGACACAAATGGGTGGCGATATATCCGCACAAAACGAGGGTGTGGTCGAAGCATTTCGAGTCGGGGGTCATCTCAAAAACAATATTTTTTTAATCATTTAATCAAAGACACGAGGGCCTGTGGTTACAATAACATAATAATGTGAGTTCATAACCCTGTTGCATAGGAACATTGTGTGTCCCAAGTCCACCATTGCAGACCTGCCCTCACACAATACACAGATATAGCACAGTTGGTAGAAAAATAGCCACATGTCATCGTCTACACTAGCATGTGATACTCTCACCTGCTGGATAACAGTTTATATCTCACTCGGTGCATATCTAAGTCTTCAACATTGTACATATATATAGCAACATCATACAGCTTATAGTTGTCAACATTGTACATTGAAACAGCATACAGTTAGTAGTTGTCAACATTGTACATAGCAACATCATACAGTTTGTAGTTGTCTACATTGTATATAGCAACATCATACAGCATGTAGTTGTCAACATTGTACATTGAAACATCATACACCCTGAAGTTGTCAACATTGTACATTGCAACATCATACAGTTAGTAGTTGTCTACATTGTATATAGCAACATCATACAGCATGTAGTTGTCAACATTGTACATTGAAACATCATACACCCTGAAGTTGTCAACATTGTACATTGCAACATCATACAGTTAGTAGTTGTCAACATTGTACAAAACCACATCATGCAGTTTGTAGTTGTCAACATTGTACATTGAAACATCATACAGCATGTAGTTGTCAACATTGTAACATCATACAGTTTGTAGTTGTCAACATTGTACATTGAAACAGCATACAGTTAGTAGTTGTCAACATTGTACATAGCAACATCATACAGTTTGTAGTTGTCTACATTGTATATAGCAACATCATACAGCATGTAGTTGTCAACATTGTACATTGAAACATCATACACCCTGAAGTTGTCAACATTGTACATTGCAACATCATACAGTTAGTAGTTGTCAACATTGTACAAAACCACATCATGCAGTTTGTAGTTGTCAACATTGTACATTGAAACATCATACAGCATGTAGTTGTCAACATTGTAACATCATACAGTTTGTAGTTGTCAACATTGTACATTGCAACATCATACAGTTTGTAGTTGTCTACATTGTACACATTAACATCATACAGCATGTAGTTGTCAACATTGTACATAGCAACATCATACAGTTTGTAGTTGTCAACATTGTACATTGCAACATCATACAGTTTGTAGTTGTCAACATTGTACATTGAAACAGCATACAGTTAGTAGTTGTCAACATTGTACATAGCAACATCATACAGTTTGTAGTTGTCTACATTGTATATAGCAACATCATACAGCATGTAGTTGTCAACATTGTACATTGCAACATCATACACCCTGTAGTTGTCAACATTGTACATTGCAACATCATACAGTTAGTAGTTGTCAACATTGTACAAAACCACATCATGCAGTTTGTAGTTGTCAACATTGTACATTGAAACATCATACAGCATGTAGTTGTCAACATTGTAACATCATACAGTTTGTAGTTGTCAACATTGTACATTGCAACATCATACAGTTTGTAGTTGTCTACATTGTACATAGCAACATCATACAGTTTGTAGTTGTCAACATTGTACATAGCAACATCATACAGCATGTAGTTGTCAACATTGTACATAGCAACATCATACAGTTTGTAGTTGTCAACATTGTACATTGCAACATCATACAGTTTGTAGTTGTAAACATTGTACATAGCAACATCATACAGTTTGTAGTGCCACACAAAAACAAGTGCAGACAGTAAGTCTATATCTGTCCTTAATAAGTAAACTTTGTATGATAGTGTGTTAATAACAATAAACTATTGGTTGAGCACCCCTGTTATGTAAAGTAACATAAACATATTGTTATATATATATCACACTACACCCTCTAGATGAGTGATCTCAAACACAAAAAGCTAGTAAAATACATTCATCAAGCTTTTAATCTAATCCAACAATTATCAGTCTAATAAATACATTACAAATATATACCGTCGTATATAACAATGTGAAGACTTTTCACTATCATATAATATCATTGTTGCAAATAAGTGCCATAAATTAATTACCATTAACATAATTGTTTCATTTCAACAAGATATACAAGCTCTGATTGTTAACAATACAGTTCATATTTCATTAATCCACTCATTTCTGTAGGACTGATGTTACACTCATTTCTGTAGGACTGATTTCAGGTGTTAGATGACTGAGTTGCAGTTTGAACACTTTGGCTACATGAACTGGACATCAGATGGACCCTGACGGACACAGCAACTGCTGGCCGAAACATTTTCCTTTCTTCAGTTGCCACAGAGGAGAAGCAAGCTCACTTCCTGTTTGTACCCCTCCACGAAAAATATAGTTGGATGTGGTTAGCTTCTCTTGGAAATCAATCAAAGTCACACCGAGAGTCCATTGTCAAGTTGCAACTCAGAAACACCGATTCACCTTCACAGTGCACACAGAATGGTGGATTTATTCAAAATTTGCTTATAGAACATCATACGCACTCAGAATGCTTCTTCCTTCTGCATTTGAGGTTTTACTGAACAAAGTTACAAGCTACCGTACGTACCTCGAAATGTTGTCCTTGTCTAAACATGTCTCTCATTCAATTCTCATCTGAAGATGGCAATACTAGAATTGTCTAAAAATTTGACAAAAAATAAATTTTATTCACATATTTTTTCTCAATTCTTCATACAGAAAATAGATATTTATCCATGTGCTGTCGTCCGCTACCCCAGTGGACATGTGGATGTCATGAGTTTGATCAGAAGAGTTATCAATATGTCAAATCCATGAAATATTGATCGTTCGTGTTCCGACACTTAAAGTGTTAATATATCATGTCGAAGATGGTCAAAGTTTCAAATTATTTATAAATGACACAAGTAAGTTTGCTTAATAATGTAAAGTATCAGATGCTAATACTGGTGTACAAACTCTCCTCCCGGTGTAAGCTAGGGGGAGCTGTCTCGTGCCGGCATACACCTTATTCATGACAAACCAAAGACAAACATTGGAAACACATGTTGATAAACACAAACCTCTTTAACATCACCAACAGAGGTCTTATTCTACAAATCATACAATCCAAAAGTGCTTTGATTTTCAGTTAAATGTAAAGTATAGATACAATAGCCCATGCTGCAACACTAGGTGCTATAAGCTGGTATAGCATGTGTCGTATGTACATGGGTATACACGGGTATACATGCTGTCATTGACCACTGCGTGCCCAGACAGCTAACATCCTTTGTGACACTCTTGTACAAATGTGTGTCAGTTTGTGCTATATACAAGGTCAACATCTGACACAGTTAATGTACACAGTAAATGTGATATGCAAAGGTGAATTGTATATGCAAAATTATATTTTTTTCTAAAATAGTTCAAACTGAGCACTATGGTGTAAAATGCCACAAAAACAAATCTAAACAATATGGGTGAGTGCAACACAAAGTCTTGTGCGGTGAGTATTGGCTGATATCTGAACACATTTCTCTCAGAAAAGAAAATATTAGACCAATTCATTGAAAAGATTACAAACCTCAAAAAGCTGTTCTGAAACAATGTACATATGAGAACAGTTGAGGACCAAGCTATACAGGGGAACTAGGGGTATACAGAGGTGATTCAGGTTCGTGATATGATGGTTGCCTGTCTACAAGCAGCCTGGGTGTGGTCGACACTGCCAACACTGCTGACTCGTACAGGAATGAATCAACCACATGGAGCATGTGCAGAAGACAAGACTCTTGATGAAGAGGTACCAGGATCAGCACCTCCATGTGGAGGTGCCAGGATCAGCACGGCCATGTGGAGGTGCCAGGATCAGCACGGCCATGTGGAGGTGCCAGGATCAGCACAGCCATGTGGAGGTGCCAGGATCAGCACCTCCATGTGGAGGTGCCAGGATCAGCACGGCCATGTGGAGGTGCCAGGATCATCACGGCCATGTGGAGGTGCCAGGATCAGCACGGCCATGTGGAGGTGCCAGGATCAGCACGGCCATGTGGGGGTCAACAAAAGCACAACTGACGTCCAAACTTGACTCTACTGGGTTAACTACTCAAGGCTTCAAACTCGTCCAGAGTCATGGTGTCCAGTCGGCGTGGGCCGGTCTGTGATGGAGTGTTCGATTCCTCCGAGTTATCACTGGCGTCATCGGAGGTATAACTGATCCTCATCCTCCACCGGTTCTGACCTGTCATACCTAGGGGGCGCTGTGGACTGCTGCTCAGGTTGTTGACCTTCAGGTCAAGCTTCTGGCGTGGCGACCCGACTGTATGCACGTCACGGTTGTCGTTGAAGTTGTCAAAGCGGTTGCCATGACTACTCTTGACTGTGCTGGTGTTGCTACTGGCATAAGTTGAATAATAGTCACTGTCCGACGGAATATTGGCATTAGAATCACGATCCCCCGAACTGGATGAACCATGTGCGGTTCGCGTAGGTCTCGAAATTTGGGTGGTGGATCAATTTTTGGAGTATGTGTTGTTCCACCCCTAAGATCCAGTCTGTTCCCACTGGCATCCTGCGGAGGACAGGGCGTGATAATCTTCACCTTGTCCTCATTTATCTCCTTCCTTCCGTCATCAGAATTGTTTGCGAAGGAGTTCCTGAAAGGATTGCCATTGATGTTGTTAGCGAGTGTGGTGGGTGGCACGGCACTTCCGTAGGGCACGCACCAGCCGTTGGACTCTGTGTGGGTCAGGTTGTAAGACAAACTCTCAGACGACATCTCGCGATGTCCACTGTCTGGCGAATCTGTGTCTAGACCTGCCTTTGTGTTCTCAAACAATGCGTTTTCGGACACATTGCTGATGTAGGAATTGTCGACCTCACGGAACTCGGGGATGTACACTGGCCCAGGGCGTGGCGTTGTTGGGTCCGGCAACATCGGCACCTGAAACACCACAGGTAACAGAGTGTGTGTGAATCTGTCAAGACTTACTTGGATTTAACTGCGAAGGATTTAAGTGGTTTTAACGGAGAAAACCCTCAGGTAATTGGCCTACAGCAGTTTGTTACAAGTCATTAAAACCCACTTTGTCTGTCTTCTGACTCACATGATATAAATATATTGATACACAGTCCATCTACACAAACACTATCCATCACAACACACTATCCAGCACAACACCATGCGGCACCACACACTATCCAGCACCGCACCACACACACTCCGGCACCACACTATCCAGCACCACACACTATCCGGCACCACACTATCGGGCATCACGCACCTCCGGCACCACACTATCACACACTACACTCCAGCATCACACCACTCGGCACACTATCCAACACCACACACTATCCGGCACCACTCTGGCACCACACACTAACCAGCATCGGGCATCACACACACTCCACTGCATTCACACACTATCCGCACCACACTATCCAGCACCACACACTATCCGGCACCACACACTATCCAGCATCACACACACTATCCAACACCACACTATCCAACACACACTATCACTATCTAGCACCATCCACACAACACTCTGGCACCACACACTATCCAGCATCACACACTATCCAGCACCACAGCATACACTATCCAGCACCACACACTATCCAACACCACACACTATCCAGCACCACACACTATCACACACCACACTCCAGCACCACACACTATCCAGCATCACACACTATCCAGCACCACACACTATCCAGCACCACACTATCCAACACCACACACTATCCAGCACCACACATATCAGCATCACAAACTTTCCAGCACCATACACTATCCAACACCACACACTATCCAGCACCACACACTATCATCACACACTATCTATCCGCACACCACACCATCACCATCCAGCATCACACACTATCCGCACCACACACTATCCAGCACCACACACCATCCAACACCACACTATCCAGCATCACACACTATCCAACACCACACACTATCCAGCACCAAACACCATCCAACACCACACACTATCCAGCACCAAACACTATCCGGCAACACACACTATCCAGCACCATACACCATCACACACCATCCAACACCACACACTATCCAGCACCACACACTATCCAGCATCACACACCATCCAGCACCATCCACACACATCCAGCGCACCACACTATCCAGCATCACACCATCCAGCACTCACCACACACCATCCAGCATCACACACCATCCAGCACCACACACCATCCAGCATCACACACCATCCAGCACCACACACATCCAGCATCACACACCATCCAGCACCACACACCATCATCCAGCACCATCCACACCGCACACATCCACATCACACACCATCCAGCACACACACACCATCCAGCATCACACACACATCCAGCATCACACACACATCCAGCATCACACACCATCCAGCATCACACACCATCCAGCATCACACACATCCAGCACCATCCAGCATCACACACCATCCAGCATCACACACCATCCAGCATCACACACCATCCAGCACAAACACCATCCAGCATCACACACCATCCAGCACCAAACACCATCCAGCATCACACACCATCCAGCACCAAACACCATCCAGCACCAAACACCATCCAGCAGCACACACCATCCAGCACCACACACCATCCAGCACACACCATCCAGCATCACACACCATCCAGCAGCACACACCATCCAGCATCACACACCATCCAGCACACACCATCCAGCATCACACACCATCCAGCAGCACACACCATCCAGCACCACACACCATCCAGCAGCACACACCATCCAGCACCACACACCATCCCACACTATCCAGCATCACACACCATCCAGCAGCACACACCATCCAGCATCACACACCATCCAGCATCAAACACCATCCAGCACCACACACCATCCAGCACCACACACCATCCAGCACCACACACCATCCAGCACCAAACACCATCCAGCATCACACACTATCCGGCACCACACACTATCCAGCATAACACACTATTCAGTCCATACCTGTTGCGGCGTCTGGAACAGCACCTCCGACGATGTTGCACCACTGACCTTGATCTCAAGGTCCTGTATGCGGGACACCAGCTGGGTCACATGATCAAGGAGGTCCCGGTTGTGCATCAGCAGCTGGTGAGCTCGAGCCTAGAACAGCGAGTGAGTGAGTGAATTCTTACTACAATGGGAGCACATAAAAGTCCTCTCCACACTGTATCAGTTTTTGTCCTATAAAACCATTCACTCATGTTTCATAGCCTCCATATGGGATCTTAGGATCACAGCAATAAAGCATCTTAACTTGGCTAACATTCTGACTTCTAAATGTCTCTTTGTCGTTTGTTTTACATGGACATGAAATGGTCACACAAACCAGTGATTGATGAGCACCATCATGAGCACAATGAGCACCAACCCACACAGGTACGATAATACCATTACCCACTGAGTCAGCCAACCTACACACTGACAACCAGCATCAGTCACCGGGACCAGTTCCAACCTGACTGAAGGGCACAACACCCAACACCTACAAATGTGACAACAAATTCCCCTGAGTGTGGAATACTGTACCTGTGCCTCGATCCTGGCGGCCGTCTCCGTCGACAACTGGTCCTTGAGTAGATGCACCTGCGCTATAGCAACCTGCGTCTGGTGCTGCTGCTGTTCCAACTGTTGCCGTATCAACTGCATCTGGTGGTGAGAACTGAGTGGGAGCTGGGACTCAGGGCCGTACTCCCCTAGCATCACTGGAGACCCGAACGGGGATGTGATGGTTGTACCCCCAACCTGATCCACAAACACAGAAATGTTCATCATCAAAAAAGTGATATGGAGATGTAAGATACTAATTTTTCACTTAGTATTTTAGATGTTTCCAACATATCAGTCAATATCCTATGAGTGTACGCTATTTAATGTTATATCAACAATACGTCAGCTGTACAGCAAGGTATATTTCATGTTATCTAATTCAAACATGTCTGTACCTATGTGAGAAGGAGGTAAAATCATTTTTGAGTGAAAATATATTCTGTTACTGTTTGCGGTTTTACCAAATAAATACAACAATTTATCTTTGGTCCCCTGGGAAAATAATAGTCTCCCCTAAAATGAAAACAAATTATGAGGAAAAAAATCATATGATTGACTAAAAAAAAGTTGTATGTGTATCTCAATCTCTTCAATTGCAGCAAAAACTAAATAGGAATATTTTTTTCTGCTTCACGGACAAACTAGAATGACAACAGCTGATGTGTACCCACCGTTGGAGAGTTGCCTCCCCTGGACTGGAGAAGCTGAGCTTGTTTGAGCGCCAGTTCTGTGGGTGGGGATACCTTGCCTTCCTTCACAGGCTCATCATAGCAGTCCTTGTTCAACTCCTTCTCCTCAAGTGCATCCTTGTCTGAAACACAGATTGACACATCAACCTTCACAGATAAACACTTCAACTTTCACAGATAAATACTTCACAGATAAACACAGGTAAATTCTCATCGATAAATACTGCAACCCTCTTCATCAACTGGCTCAAGTGTTCAAGCATCCAAAGCAGACAGTTAAAAAGTATATTTAGTGACTGTACAGTTAAGTGACTTTACAGATTTGTGACCAGACATTTCAGTGACTTTACGTAGTGACTATACAGTTAAATCACTTTACAGTTTAGTGACTAGACAGTCAAGTGACTTTATGTAGTGACTAGATAGTTAAGTCACTTTACGGTTTAGTGACTAGACAGTCAAGTGACTTTACGTAGTGACTAGATAGTTAAGTCACTTTACGGTATAGTGACTAGACAGTCAAGTGACTTTACGTAGGGACTAGATAGTTAAGACACTTTACGGTTTAGTGACTAGACAGTCAAGTGAATTTACTTAGTGACTAGATAGTTAAGTCACTTTACGGTTTAGTGACTAGACAGTCAAGTGACTTTACAGTTTAGTGACTGTACAGTCATGACATTGAAAAGAAACAAATGAGGAGTGAGATTAAAAATTTCCTACATACCAGACTAGACCCATTCTGCCTCACAAACTTTCACTTGCAGGAAGGTCAACTCCAACTGACCACAGACTGAAATACTGCCTTAAAACCAGGCTTCAACAGCACAGGATGTAATAATTCTCAGAAATAACTAGAATAACAATAAAAATCCACAGTCCCTCCCTTCTCTGACACAATCCGGCTTATGACACTATTGACTTCAGCGTCCACCTCAAGCCCGTGCTGGAGGTGAAACCGGCAGTCCAACACTGGGGACACACATCCAGCTAGAGGGCCACAACAGGGACAAGATGTCCACTTGATAACGGCCCAGCAGGAAACATCATTCACACCAAGCTGTCAAAACAAATTAACTCCGTCACGAGCTATTACCCTTCAAACAATCAAATGTTGGATTCAAATCAATACCATTTCTAAACTTCTCAAAGAATGTTTTCCTTGCGCAGCGTCCACCACAAACACGCAGCGTCCACCACAAACACGCAGGGCTCCAGTGTTTCTTGGAGAAGCTACCACACGGAATGTTGTCATGATTGTAATTAATGGTTCATGTTTTTATGCATTGTCAAATTAATCTGTTCTTTCTTTCTATATAACCACAGAATCAATCCAACAGCACTTCTTAAACTACAACTTTTACAGGGGAGGAGGATCGAGGGGTTCATTGATGCTGAAATATTGCAGAATAACCCAATATTCTTGTAGACGTGCTCTAAATCTTACCTCAGTGTGTGTACAGATTGTCTACAAAACTGGAATGCTTTTTGCAATAAATATATGTTATCTTAACTCAAAAGCTGTGAGGCATTATGGATTAACTGTCCCCCATGAATAAATGTATGAATAAATAATGCAGATACTCCGCAATTTGAGAAGAGAGTAGTTTTTTCTCTTTTCTCCCCACAGTAATGTTTCTGAAAACTTATAGGAAATTTAACATTTCCCGTTCAAAACTGAGATATCTCCGCAGCCAGTCTATTGCAGGAAGGGTGTCACATGACATCCTCTGTGGCATCATGAACAATGGAGGATCTAATGTTACCTACTAAAATGTGAACGCAAGTCATCACATTAGGGACCGTTCATAATTTATGCCTAGTGTGGATGATGATGATTTTAAGGGGGTCACCCATTTTGTTCTGGGGAGCTGGGTGGGGGTGGGGGTCAACAAGTTTGTACACACATACTGGGGAAAAAAGTAATTTTGTACATAAAAATATGTTTAAAATTATGCTTAGAAATTATGGGAAAGGGAGGGGGCCATTGATTTTGTACATGACATGCCCGGGGGTGGGGGTGGGGGTGTGAGTGTTCCACTTATTTTGTACATAAATTTTAGGGGGGTCATTCACATTGTACATGCTTCTCCTTAAAAATCATCACCACCACCCCAACCCCCACCCCAGCCATAAATTATGAAAGGTTCCCTACTACCGACCTCTATCCACACCACAAAGACAATAAAACCAATAGGAACGACCTAGCCAATCATCATGAAGCTATCATCACTATACCCATGTGGCATGTTAACATTATGTTTTTTCATATTGTAATAAATTTATAATATCAAAGCATATATGTTAAAGTGTCATATAAAGCCTTTATATATAGAAGAGATAAAGGTCATAAACACAAAGACTGCCTCATGTCGTCTGAAGAAATCAGTATATGTGAGACAAATACTGCAAAATACACATCACACAACCCCTTCTCTGGAAAAGAGTAATCGATAGCATTTTTCACTCAATCTTGTAATTTCAATAGTTATTGTGAATAGTTGACCCCTTTTAAACACTGTCTATAGCTTTATACTCAAGATTTTAAAAAACATTTAACAAGGAAGGTAACTCTGGATAAATATAACTGAGCAGTTGTAAGAAAACCAGACCTCCTGATAAGATTTAGCTCATGTGGGTACTGTACCCACTGTATTTTTTTAGAGTGGGTATTATGAATGTTGAGTGGGTATTTCATTTTCCGTTACCCACTGCTTTCAAATATGTGCGTATTTCAGTCATTTTACTCACTTAAGTATTATGTCATTGAGTAAGTTTACTAAGCAGGTATGTTCTGCCTTATGTCATATCTAATCAAAACCAACTTAAATATAAGGGAAATCACTCATCCTATACTGACAGTACAACACTTGCCCAATACTGATAGCAATCGATGTCATTTTCATTACGCAAGTGATTTTTATAAATATATTCCGTACGCATTTGCTTTAAACTTTTTGCGTATCTAACATTTTAAATGCGTAATTGGTACGCAACAATTATTTTTCAATGCGTAAATGGGAATTTTCTATGCGTATTTTACCCGGATACGCAGCTTATCTGGGCCTCTGAAAAACCCATCCCATTTCAAGCAGTTTGCACAAACCTGAAAAATACTGGCCAAAGGCCATAACTCTGAAACGAAATTAATTTAAGACACTAACTTTGGAACCCATTCAGATTGTGAAAATCATCACTAAGTGAAAGTGCATGAGGCAGGGGCCATAACTGTGTCAGAAATAAAGTTACGACTGAAATTCATTTCACATCATGACCATTTGCACTGGAGTGTAAAACTTCTGCTCATCACCTGAAATAGTTTTTAAGAAATTAAGTGGCCAATGAGAATCGGAGAGACAGACAGAAAGATGGATGGGCTCCATTCCAGTATCCCCTGCCCCAGTTTGTAACAGAGAGGTCAGTGACAATTACTGACAACACTGTACCCCATTTCCCTGTCTCTATAAGTATACTGTATTCAGTCAGTTGTTTCCACCATAGACAGCAGAACGAGATGACTTTTTTCAGTTAACTTTTGTAAATGTTTCATTGACTGTCCCTCAGTTTATCAAACTTTGCACCTGAGAATCATAAAAGTAACAATTCCAATGTCATACCTATGATACAGGTAACTTATCAACATCTCTTAACTTAATTATTCGACTCCTCACTTCTACGAGATAAAGGGTTAAATTCCAGAGTGAGTGCATCAGTGTTGAATATTCTGGTATTTCCACATAAAATTAAATCTTCAAGAGGTTTGTGTAAAGGAATCCTGTTCAGCTCTGACTGGGTGATACGGAACCATATCTACGTGTACTGCTTCCCCTCCAACTACTGATAGTGTAGAGGAAGGATGCAGCCGCTATCAGGGGAAGTAATCTCACATCTACTCCACGCACGAGAGAGCACCATTTTCCTGCTAGAAGCCTTAGTCATTATCAAGATAAAGGAATTAGAAACAACACAATCATTATGCGAGAGAACAAATACACATAATTGTCAGATAATCACTCTAATATCAGAGGTAAACACCATTGGTCATATTATATAAATCCAGCTAGCATTGGATCATTTTGGACTTGTGGCTTTTGTAATGTAATAACAAGTAATAACAAGTAATAACAAGTCTTTCAGGATTTTCACTCGTCTCAGGCTGACAGACTACTGTTGAGTCAATTTTGTTTTTTATGTAACCAGTTCAGTAGAGTAATGCTTAGTCTCTAAATACATATAATTTTGATAGTAACAAAAAACAAAACCATTAAAATTGAAAAGGAGCCCAAGGCAGACCAGAGATGCTGAATCTGAGGAAATCTAGACTTGCTTCATTTAGGGCTTTGGCACTGCATAGAGGGCAAGGCAGTAGGGAAAATAATGTGGTTCAGGGACTGTGAGACAGACTACCAGTCCAGTTGTCTGGAGGGCTGCCATTACCAAACAGGAAGTCCTGATTTATAACAAAATTTCCCCTGTAAATGATAGTGTATTTCTAACAGACACTCATACAGAAAGCATCACATGGACAAGACACTGATCCTAGTTAGATAATGCATGGTTCAGGAGAATATTTGCCTCTTGATGTGGGTTAATTGCGTGTCATAAATACCAACAGGCCATGTCGGCAGCATCAATAAACACCTCGAACTAAATCATTTGATATTTGGACAGCTGATGCAGGTATGTGAGGCAGTTGTGCAGAATGCTGTATCTGCCTGTGAGATGGTTATGTGGAATGCACTATCAGTTGGTAGGCCAGTTGTGTGGAAGGCACTGTCAGAAGCCAGTGTTATCTGATAGCTGAAGACTAGCCTGCCTTCCAGCAGGTGCCTGGTAGACCTTGACAAGTAGTTGCCTTGGGGTAGGTAGGGGGTGAGGTGGGAGGGGGGTGAGATGGGAGTGGGTGATTGGGTAGGGGGTGAGGTGGGAGAAGTGGGTGATTGTAGGTAGGGGTTGAGATGGGAGAAGTGGGTGATTGTAGGTAGGGGGTGAGGTGGGTGAATGTAGGTAGGGGGTGTACACCAGTGTACACACAATATTCATGTCCAGATGTGCGCACCTATATCCCTCCTCCCTTTGTGCACACCCTCTACTAACTGTCACATTCAGTGTGAGTTATTCTAATTGACATGCCAGGTAGGTGACATTAACTCCATGCAAGGAGCTGCTAAGATCAAAGAGATTCTGCAGCCATTCTGAACATGTCCGACGTCCACAGCTCCTCATATACCACATTGAGCCTAGCATGCTCACAGTCGACATATCAAGGAAATCCCTGTTTCAGGGAAACACTGGGATTAATTTTCAGGACTGACTGACTGACTGAGTTTGGTTTTACGTCTTCAGCGTGACGAGCCAACGCTTTAACCACTAGGCTACCCCACCACCCCAATTTTCGGGAAGTATTACAGTTAAAATCATTCCCTGTCTGTAGATCTTGATGTCATAGAAGTTGAAATCTTGGAGGAGGTAAACACATCCAGGACTATTTACAAGATGAGTGAGTGAGTGAGTTTAGTTTTACGACGCACTCAGCAATATTCCAGCTATATGGCGGCGGTCTGTAAATAATCGTGTCTGGACCAGACAATCCAGTGATCAACAGCAGGAGCATCGATCTGCACAATTGGGAACCGATGACATATGTCAACCAAGTCAGCGAGCCTGACCATACGAGCCCGTTAGTCACCTCTTCACGACAAGCATGGGTTACTGAAGGCAACATTCTAACCGAGACCTTCACGGGTCATTTACAAGATGAACATCACCCTATACTATTTATTTGATTCTTACAGCAATCGTAAATAAATTCCTGGAAATAATTTACATACTTTATGTGATGTCCATGACTTACTTTTGAGCGTGATTCTTCTTTCGTTGTCCTCCGATGACCGATCACTGTTGGTTTCCTCTATTTCTGTGTTGGGGCTGGTCTGAATGGTGAGCTTGTGACAGACCTCAAACGCCTGGCCAATCGTACGCACAATGCGCATTGCTTGACTCTGAAGCAACAAGGATGACAATGTATAAATGAACACTTTCCAAAGCTGAGATATATATGATCATCACGTTATAAGTGTTTTAGTCTGACCAGTTGTCCAGTAAACAGTCACCACTACATTCAGTCATCACCAGGCTCGGTCATCGCTACATGTGTCATCACTACATTCATCACTACACTTCATCATCACTACATTCATCACTACATTTGTCATCACTACATTCATCACTACACTTTGTCATCACTACATTCATCACTACACTTTGTCATCACTACATTCATCACTACACTTTGTCATCACTACAGCCAGTCATCACTGCACTTTGTCATCACTACAGCCAGTCATCACTGCACTTTGTCATCACTGTTGCCCTACCAAGAGACGTCAAGTGCTACCCTCCCTAGAGACATGTACTGCTGCCCTATCGGGAGACATGAACTATTGACCTACATAGAGACATCAACTGTTGCCCTACCTAGTGACGTCAACTGTTGCCCTACCTAAAGACGTCAACTGTTGCCCTACCTAGAGACGTTAACTGCTGCCCTACTGTGACACTTCAACTGTAGCCCTAACTAGAGACTTCAACTGTTGCCCTTCCTAGAGATGTCAACTGTTGCCCTACATAGAGACATCAACTGTTGCCCTACCTAGAGACATCAACTGTTGCCCTACCTAGAGACATCAACTGTTGCCCTACCTAGAGACATCAACTGTTGCCCTACCTAGAGACATCATTTGTTGCCCTACCTAGAGACGTCAACTGTTGCCCTATCTAGAGATGTCAACTGTTGCCCTACCTAGAGACATCAACTGTTGCCATATCTAGAGACATCAACTGTTGCCCTACCTAGGGACAACAACTGTTGCCCTACCTAGAGACATCAACTGTTGCCCTACCTAGAGACATCAACTGTTGCCCTACATAGAGACATCATTTGTTGCCCTACCTAGAGACATCAACTGTTGCCCTATCTAGAGATGTCAACTGTTGCCCTACCTAGAGACATCAACTGTTGCCATATCTAGAGATGTCAACTGTTGCCCTACCTAGGGACAACAACTGTTGCCCTACCTAGAGACATCAACTGTTGCCCTACCTAGAGACATCAACTGTTGCCCTACATAGAGATGTTAACTGTTGCCCTACCTAGAGACATCAACTGTTGCCCTACCTAGAGATGTCAACTGTTGCCCTACCTAGAGACATCAACTGTTGCCCTATCTAGAGAAGTCAACTGTTGCCCTACCTAGAGAAGTCAACTGTTGCCCTACCTAGAGACATCAACTGTTGCCCTACCTAGAGATGTCAACTGTTGCCCTACCTAGAGACATCAACTGTTGCCCTACCTAGAGACATCAACTGTTGCCCTACCTAGAGACATCAACTGTTGCCCTACCTAGAGACATCAACTGTTGCCCTATCTAGAGAAGTCAACTGTTGCCCTACCTAGAGAAGTCAACTGTTGCCCTACCTAGAGATGTCAACTGTTGCCCTACCTAGAGAAGTCAACTGTTGCCCTACCTAGAGACATCAACTGTTGCCCTACGTAGAGACATCAACTGTTGCCCTACATAGAGACATTAACTGTAGCCATAAAACACCAGACATTGCCACATCATAAAGAGGCTTTAAACAAGAAACATCTCATAATGTTTTGACAATCACTTGTGTCATACAGCTAGAAACTGATGTCCTGAAGGGAAAAGGAGTAAAACGTTTTTTTCACTGTTCCTCTGTGAATGAAAATTGAGAAACACTCGACCTACTTGCTGTCTGTCGTCCTTCTATTTCAATATTCATCTCTCAAATATGTCACTTTTTTCACTTTTATCTTTGTCTCTTTTCCCCATCTCCTGCTGCCCTGTGTAACAACAAAAACCTTCAACATCTCAAAATGTTAATCATTCATCTGAGGCCCTTTACTGGGCCAAAACCAGTTGTCCAACCATACCAATCTCCTGGCAAGGAGGCCACATGCTTGAATCAGTGCTTGACACACTGCTTCAACTTCCAATCAGGAGACAACAAGTTTTCAAGATACTGTTTCTTTACAACTAACAGTTTTTAAATGAATTTTGCTAACTCCAGCTCTCATGAAGTGCCATGTTTCACAAAAACTCAAAATTAATCAAACGTTCTGAAGCGAACCTGGTACATAGTATTAGCCACAGTTTTACAAGACAACTTACAATAAACAAGGGAATTTGAAAAAATGCTCTACATAATGCAAGTGGCAGCAACTGAATCTAGTACTCTTCCTCATAAAAACAGGCATAGTCTATTACAGCTCAATATATAGATATTTTTTAAAGAATGCTTAAAATAGTTTTGAAAATAGCCCCGAGAGCATAATGATATTGGCGTGTTTCACAAACAAGGATGTGGATTGAATGTGATGAAATTGCAAAAATGAGATAAATGAATCTTTTGTTTCTTGAAGGTATGAGTGAGTCAGTCTGTGAGTGAGTAAGAGTGAGTCAGGGAGTGAGTGATGTCACTTCTAATCAACACAATACACTCTGATGGTCGTCTCAAGACAGATATATTGCCGTTCAAGAATTTCAACAAATTTAGTGTTTGTAACTGATGAACTCAGTCATTCATTCAGGTCCAATACTGTACACTACAGTGTTGGCAGTCTGTTTGATACTCTCTTCTGTCAACCAATGATTGACAGAAGATACAATATTTACCTTCAACTTATCACATATCATACATTGTAAAACTTTCTTCCATGACCTTAAATATCTGCAGAAATCTAAATACTTCACCACATCAACTAACAGTGGAATATGACAAACATCCTCCAAGTCAATCTCAAAATTCAAATAATTAAGAAGCAATAATCGTGGAGGAAGCTAAAGTGTTTAGAAATCATTTTCCTCAATATGATTTGACCTCATCATTACAATACAAACACTCAGTCATTATTTCTTTAGGATGCCGATACTAGGCTGTTTTCTCTCAACATTTAGAAGAAACATGAGGCAATCATTGAGAAGCATCAGTGAAGAAAGAGTCTTGAACCAAGATGGCCACCTCCACAACCTGTCACGAAAGTCAGTTAATCTCAACATTGAATCAAATCAATTTAAAGCCTGTTATTTTTTACTCATGGGACTCGAAGAGTTATTTACGTAAAGATTTCTGGCAAATTCTGTCAGTCTTAAGAAACCATTTCCTAAAGAAGGAAATTATTGAAAGTTTTCTCTTCCTTGATTACCATGCAACCTAATGTGACCTGGTATTTTAAGAGCTGGTATTTCAAGTCTTGTACGCATTCATTGATCAGCTTTGATTTACAATAAAACCTCACTCCGCGGAGAAGGAATAATCTGGCGTGGACGTCCGTCTTGCTGCTCCATAAATAAAACAATATATATGAGCCACATGACTGACTTTGATTCAGTCATGCCAGGGTTTATGAATCCTGTCAGTGTAATTGCAGACAACAATTATGTTCAAGCACCGTCATGTTCCCACTCTGAGGCATGGCAACCTGTCACCTGGGCCACAGCTTACAGGGAGCATCTTTGATTTTTTAAAACCACATTCATCAATATGCCAGCTAAATGACAGTGATCTCTGAACAATCGGTTCCGAGCCAGACAAACTAGGGATTGATATTGCAAGCAACGAACTATGTCATTCCACACACAATGAACAAAGTCATCCAGCTTACTCTACACTGATCCAAGGGATTATGTAGCCTTGCTCCAAGGCTGTACTGAATGCTGAGCCCATGGATGTATAATAATTATATCCTTCGAAGGGCCAAGTCTAGATAAGCAGACAGTACATCTAAGGACCCCAGTCTGTTTTTTATTATTTTTTAGAAATTATCATTTAAACTCTAAATTTTTACCTTAGAGACTTGTGCTAGAGAATATGGGAAATCAGACTTAATGATGACATAGAACAAGGTTCACAATTACCACTTGATTGTCTGACCTAAGGTCAATATTTTAATGCTGAAATAGTGCTGAATGCAATGTCAAGCAACAAACACCCATTGTTGGCTTGACAAACAGAGTCCCCAGAATACAGGACACAATGTCTGGAACACAGGACACAATGCCTGGAACACAGGACACAATGTCTGGAACACAGGACACAATGCCTGGAACACAGGACACAATGCCTGGAACACAGGACACAATGCCTGGAACACAGGACACAATGCCCGGAACACAGGACACAATGTCTGGAACACAGGACACAATGCCTGGAACACAGGACACAATGCCTGGAACACAGGACACAATGCCTGGAACACAGGACACAATGCCTGGAACACAGGACACAATTCCCGGAACACAGGACACAATTCCCGAACACAGGACACAATGCCTGGAACAGAGGACACAATGCCTGGAACACAGGACACAATGCCTGGAACACAGGACACAATGCCTGGAACACAGGACACAATGTCTGGAATACAGGACACAATATATGGAATACAGGACACAATGTCCGGATCACAGGACACAATGCCCAGGACCTATGTTCGGTACAGGAAACGCGCTTATCATTGCACATGGAGACTTGCTCACTTTCCCAATATTTCAGAACATAGGAACAGGAACTGAACTTTCCCAAACTGCACTTTCTTTGCACTGATACATCTTCATACATTACTTTCTTACAGATAAAACTGAAATATTTTCAAACATCTGAACAATCGCAAAACCTGTGGAATGAGAGATGAAAGAGAAGGATTAACCATGACTGTCACCAGTTGACAGCCGATCGGTCTCACGAACACTCACAACTATTTATGTCTGTATTCAAAGTGAGAAACGGAGCTAACTGACAGCAAATCACGATGAACATCTTCCGTGATTACATCATTAAACAGGCAAACAGTGTCAACATCATCACCATTCCCAACGTCACAATCAATCACAATATTCCAATAGAAATCTCTATGCATGGGTTCTCTTCTTTTCATGTTTAAATCTAATTTCTGTTTTAAAAACAACCGAATATTCTT